TGGGCAGTGGGGGGGAAGACGGAACCCAGAAGATGTGGGACAATATGATGGGGCATCTGCTTATTTGTGTGTCTTTATTTGTGTGTCCCAGGGCCCCATTCAAAGTGTTGCAGCTTCCGCAGGCAGACCGCGCGCCCATCTCCAGAGAGGGCTGCGCGCGGAACCTGCCCCCGGCTACTCCGCCTGTCGCTGCGCGCCCGGTCACTCTTGCCTCGCTCTGGAGATGGTCGACGATCAGACGTTTGATTAGTTGCACGAGGTGCAGGGCCATGTCTTCTCTCGGACACTTCCGAAAGCTCCGAGGTGAGTGCACACGTCCCCACGGCAAAAACCACGAGTATTGGTCTGGTGCGAAGCGAAGCTGGCACCCGAAGGAAACTAGTCGGTGGAGACAGTTCCCATCAGAGAGTAAGGCTGGGGGCTGCAGGGCGCTCGTCCAAAAACTCCTCCTTCTCTTCGTCCTCGTCCTCGTCCTCGTTCTACCCCTCCGCCTCCTCCTCTTCCTCTTCCTCCGTGATATCCTCCTCCTCCTCCTCCTCCTCCTCCTCCTGCAGCACTGCGGACTGGCTGACCCAATCCACCTGTACACCTCGGGCGGGCGGCGCACGACACCATCGTCGCCGCCGCCCGAGGTACGCCCAATGGTGGGTGGCGCACCTGCCGCTTCCGCCACCGCCCGTGGGGCGCGCCGAGGCTGTCAGCCGCCAGCCTCGGAGGGAGCCCGCGGGCATTCGACGTCTGGGGGGGGCTGCCGGGCCGACGCGGAGGCGCACCGTCGCTCCAGGCCCGACACTTCTCGGCCCGGGCCGCCCCGGGGGCCTCTCGGGGCAGACGGCCCCCCACGAGGGCGGCGAGGGGCGGCGTGCCGGCGCAGCCCCCCTTGGCGCTCTCGGCCAGGCTTGGCCCAGGCCCCCCTGAGGAGAAAGAAGGCGCGAGCTCGCAGCCAAGCTCGGCAGCGCCTCCTCCTCCTCCTCCTCCTCCTCCTCCTCCTCCACCTCCTCCTCCTCCACCTCCCTCTTTCCCCTCCTCCTCTCTCCTCCTCTCCCAATCCTCCTCTTCCTCCTCCTACTTCTCCCATACTCTCCTCCTCCTCCTCATTCCTCCTCTCCTCCCTCTTTCCCCTCCTCCTCCTCCTCCTCCTCCTCCTCCTCCTCCTCGTCTTCCTCCTCATCCTCCTCCCTCTTTCCCCTGCTCCTCCTCCTCCAGCGCCGGCAGCAGGCAGCGCAAAGCTTTCGAGCGTCACGTACTGGAGTGTTCAAGACTTAAGTCGGGCATGTCCCTCTACAGAGGGAATATTCAAAAATAGTGAAAATTATTCTAAGCCGCTCGAGGCGCAAAGTTCTTATGCCCCAGCGCCTTACCTTGCTTTGGGGCATAAGAACTGATATGGCTGCTGATGTTCCTCTCCGCCACCTCAATTCCGCCGCAGTGGGGCTCGACGTTTCAGCGCTTTCGGTCCCGCGCCCGGTTGCGGCGACGCAAATGGCAGGACGACGACGACGTCGACGACGACGACGACGACGCTGACCACGACGACGACGACGAGAAAATCGAGGGTGGGGACGAGGACGACGGCGCGACGCGACCCGGCCAACCAACCTGACGAACCAGACGAACCAGACGAACCAGACCAGCCAGACCAACCAGACCAATCAGACCAGCCAGACCAAGCATACCAGCCAGAACCGAACGCGCCAGACTAACCGGGCCAACCAACCAAACCAAATAAAGGAAGTAGACGAAGCAGACCAGCCAGACCAAGCAGACCAGGCAGACCAATCAATGAGACCAGACCTGTAGACCAACCGATCAGGCCAGACAGACCAGACCAGACCAGCCAGACCAAACAGACCAGCCAGACAAGACCAGCTAGACCAGCTACACCAGCCAGACCAACCCCAACCAGACCAGCTTGACGGGCCGGACCAGCCAGACCAACCAACCAGACCAACAAGACCAGACCAGCCAGACTAACCAGACCAACCAAACGAAGCAGACCAGCCAGACCAACCAGACCAACCACACCAGCTAGACTAAGCAGACAGCAGAACAAGTAGACCAGGCAACCAGACCAGCTTGGCCAGTCGATCCGGTCAGGCAGACCAAACCAGACCAGACCAGCCAGACCAACCAGTCCATCCAGAGCAGACCAGACCAGCCAGACCAATCAACCAGACCAGACCACCCAGACGAACCCGACCAGCCAGACCAACGCGACAGACCAACCAGACCAACGAGACCAGCCAGAGCAGACCAGACAAGACCAACCAGACCAACGAGACCAACGAGAAAAAACATACCAGCCAGACCAAGCAGACCAGCTTGACCAGTCGATCCGGTCAGGCAGACCAAACCAGACCAGACCAGCCAGACCAACCAGTCCATCCAGAGCAGACCAGACCAGCCAGACCAGCCAGACCAATCAACCAGCCAGACCAATCAATGAGACCAACCAGACGAAACCAGCTAGACCAACGAGACCAACGAGCAAAAAAACAGCCAGACCAAGCAGACCAGCTAGACCAACCAGACCGACCAGACCAGCCAGACCAATTAGACCAGCCTGGCGAACCAGACCGATAAAGCAACCCGAACCAGACAAACCGAACCAATCGGACGTACCACACCAGACGAACCAGACCAACGAGGTGAACTACTCGACCAACCAGTCGACGCGAGACCAGCCAGACCAGACCAGACTAACACGACCAGAGTAACAAGACCAGGATCGAGGAGCGGCCGCGTTTTTTCTCGACCTGGGCCGTTGTGGAGTACAGCTAAGTAAGCTCCATCGCCGAGCAGCGCCGCGCTGGGGGTCCATGCGTGACCACGTACCCCCCCAGACGGCGCCAGTCTGGAATCGTCAGAGATGGTGATGCTCTTCCTCCTCCCCCTCCTTCTACCCAACGCCATGCCAACGCCAGCTAAAGCCTCAGCACCAGGCTCAGAGCAGACCAACCAGACCAGCCAGACCAGATGCAAAAAAAACTGCAATGCAAAAAAAACTGCAATGCAAAAAAAACTGCTTTTCGGTCGGAGTCGTTGGCGCTGCCTCCCTGGACCTCCCCTAAACCACTCTCGCCTGAATCCTAAGCTAAAGCCTCAGCACCAGGCTCAGACCAGACCAACCAGACCAGCCAGACCAGATGCAAAAAAAACTGCAATGCAAAAAAAACTGCAATGCAAAAACAACTGCTTTTCGGTCGTCGTCGTTGAAGATGCATCCCTGGACCTCCCCTAAACCACTCTCGCCCGAATCCTAAGCTAAAGCTTCAGCACAAGGCTCCAACCAGACCAGCCAGACCAGATGCAAAAAAAACTGCAATGCAAAAAAACTGCAATGCAAAAAAACTGTTTTTCGGTCGTCGTCGTTGAAGATGCATCCCTGGACCTCCCCTAAACCACTCTCGCCCGAATCCTAAGCTAAAGCTTCAGCACAAGGCTCCAACCAGACCAGCCAGACCAGATGCAAAAAAAACTGCAATGCAAAAAAAACTGCAATTCGGTCGTCGTCGTTGAAAATGCATTCCGGGACCTCCCCTAAACCACTCTCGCTTGAATCCTAAGCTAAAGCTTTAGCTAAAGCTTCAGCACCAGGCTCAAACCAGACCAGCCCGACAACTCCGACCAGATACAACTCCGACCAGCTTGTTCTTTGGAAGCTTGGCGTCCCGCCGTGCGCTACACGGCTAAGAACTTTATCCCAGTGCGACCCTACCTAGGAGTTGGAGCCCCTAGGAAAGCAGCATTAGTAGTAACAGAAAAGCTAAGCTAAAGCTAAGCTAAATATAAGCTAAATCTAAGTTAAAACTAAGCTAAAGCTAAGCTAAAGCTAAGCTAAAGCTAAGCTAAAGCTAAGGTAAAGCTAAGCTAAAGCTAAGCTAAAACTAAGCTAAAACTATGATAACGCTAAGCTAGAGCTAAGCTGAAGCTAAGCTGAAGCTAAGCTAAAGCTAAGCTGAAGCTAAACTGACGCTAAGCTAGAGCTAAGCTAAAGCTAAGCTGAAACTAAGCTGAAGCTAAGCTAAAGCTAAGCTAAAGCTAAGCTAAAGCTAAGCTAAAGCTAAGCTAGAGCTAAGCTAAAGCTAAGCTAGAGCTAAGCTAAGCTAAGCTAAGCTAAGCTAGAGCTAAGCTAAAGCTAAGCTAAGCTAAAGCTAAGCTGAAGCTAAGCTAAGCTAAGCAGCTAAGCTAAAGCTAAGCTGAAGCTAAGCTAAAGCTAAGCTGAAGCTAAGCTAACGCTAAGCTAGAGCTAAGCTAAAGCTAAGCTAAAGCTAAGCTGAAGCTAAGCTAGAGCTAGAGCTAAGCTAGAGCTAAGCTGAAGCTAAGCTGAAGCTAAGCTAGAGCTAAGCTAGAGCTAAGCTGAAGCTAAGCTAAAGCTAAGCTAACGCTAAGCTAAAGCTAAGCTAAAGCTAAGCTAAGCTAAGCTAAAGCTAAGCTAAAGCTAAGCTAAAACTAAGCTAAAGCTAAGCTAAAGCTAAGCTGAAGCTAAGCTAAGCTGGGTGAACCCAGGGGGCGCAACTGGGGGAACCGCGGGGCGGGGACTGGGGGAACCGCCCGGGGCGCTTTCCACTGCCCGGCCCCTTTAAGCTAGAGAGTAAGAACCCTTCTAGGCAGAGCCTAGGTAGGGAATAATCGGGGACGGTTTAAACAAAAAACTATGTTTGAGTATGCTTTGATTATGTTTTGAATGCTTTGCAATTGTTCGTCAAACATCCTGTAGGAGGACATGCCCGACCTAAACGTAGACAGTGTGGAATGCGGGAGTGCTTCGTCTTCTTCCTCCTCCGCCTCCTCCTCCTCCCGCTGTTGCTCGTTGTGCTCCCCTTCTGCTCCCGCTCCCGCTTGCGTTCCCTCTTTCCGCTGGTGCGTCCCCCCCTCCCCACCCCCCTTTTCGCACGCTGGTACGCACGTCACTGCTCCCAGGGGCGAGGGCGCGAGCCGACAGGAGCAGAAGCGGGCCTGGAGGAATGTGTAGCCGCACGCCTCGAGCCAGCCTCGAGGCCCCACGATGGCGCGGGCCTGGGTCTTGACTGGGAGCTCTCCCAGCGGCTTGCTGCAGGCAGCGCCGAGCGCGCCGGGCGTGGCAAGCCTTGCACTCTGAGCCACCCGCTTTCGAGCGGAGGCTCAGCCTTCAGATGGAGCCGGTTGCCCAAGGGCTGTTTCCAGGAGAACCCCACGGTGCTCCAAGATTCGCCAGGGAGGGTCCGAAAGAATGCCCCACGGCAATCCCCACAGGGCCCCTGGAGGTACCAGCTGGACCCTTCATGAGTCTTCTTTGGAGTATTCTTTCTCTTCATGGTTTCGCTGTGCCAGCCCTGAAGGCGCAAGATGGTCTTTCGTTGGCATCTGGAGTGCATTCGGGCCGTCCTGAACAGAGCCCCGGTAATTTCAGGAGGACCCCACAGAGCTTCAAGATGGCCCAGGACCTCTCCTCCCCCTCCTCATCCTTCTCCTCATCCTCCTCGTCCTCCTGCTCCTCATCCTCCTCTTCTTCCTCCTCCTCCTCCTCCTCCTTTCCTCTCCTCTTCTCTCCTCTCTCTCCTCCTCGCTCATTTCCTCTCCTCGCCCTCGTCCTCGCCCTGGTCCTCGTTCTCGTCCTCCGCCGCGCTCCACCTTCACCTCATCTTCTCTCCTGCCTCATCGTTCCCGTCGCCCCCAAAAACCTCCTCCTCCCACTCCTCCTTTTGCTCCTGCTCCTACTTGCCCCCCTTCCCCCTCCTGCTCCCCCTGCTCTTCCTCTTCCCCCCCTCGCGTGTTGGCCTCCTCCTCCTCCTCCTCCTCCTCCTCCATCTCCTCCTTTTCCTCCTCCTCCTCCTCCTCCTTCTCCTCCTCCTGGGGTGATTGGGAGTCGGATCCCGAACAGCGGAGTGATTGTGTTTTTACGGATGGCTCGGGATACCACAACGAGTATCCTGAGCTCCGTCGGTGTGGATGGTCCGCTGTCGTGCTGAATGCCAATGGAGTCCCCACTCGCGCGTTGTATGGCGGGCTCGCTGGCGCGCAGCAGACAGTGGGCCGCGCTGAGCGTGTTGCGGGCCTCAAGGCCCTTCAGTACATGCCATCGGTCCAGTGTGTGATTTCTGACTTGCTGGAATTTGTGAATGAAGGCAAGCTGTGGGGCCAAGGAGAAACGGAGGCCCTCACAGATGCGAGCCGTGCATACCCTGCAGTGTGGCGTCAGCTGGTGGCGCTGAAAAGAACGCCACCCGCTTTTGCATGGGTCCCGTCACACAGGACTGAGGATGAGGTTCTCTTCCCCGCTCCTGAGGACCCTCCGCCTCCTCCCTACCTCTGGGTCGTGGGAAATGGTTGGGCTGACTTTTTTTGCCAAGTTAGGAGCCCTCTCGGTCAAGCTCCCAGAGGCCCATGCTAGGGTCTATAAGGACTCGCTGACTGAGGCTGCCCAGTATGCCAAGTATTTGTCTTGGGCGGTCCAAAGAAGCTGTCAGCTTGACCTGTGGGCTGAGAAGGCTGTCCTGACGGCGGCCCCAAGCAGAGCTCCCAAGGACGGTGGAGCCAGAATAGTGCTGCTAGTACACGAGCATGACCTCATCGAGATCCGAGGGAGGCTCATGTGTCGACGATGCCGTCGCACAGCGAGGACCGCTGAAGCTCGCCGACAGTTGACGGGAGGCACGGATCGACGTTGTGTGCCTTCTATGATCTCCCGAATGCAGGCAAATCTGATCGAGGCTGCCGCCAGTGCCGCCGCGAGGCCGCCGACGGCCCGCTGGGGGTCTACGGGGGGGCTGTCTGGTGGGCCTGGGGGTGCTTGTGGGGGTGGGGCCTCGGCTGGGGCCGCTCCTGCTGAGGCTGGGCTCGGGGCCGCTGTGGCTGGGGATTCGGCTGGGGTGCGTTTGGGGGAGCCTGTGCCCGCCTGCGTTGGCGGGGTTGGGGCTTCTGGCGGGGCTGAGTTTGGGGGCTCGGCGTCTCTGGCCTCTGAGGAGGCCGTGCGTGGGGGGCCTACGCCTGCCCGCGAGGGCGAGGCTGGGGCCCCGCTGGGGCGTGCTGCGGGCTCTGGGGAGCCTGCGGCGGCGGAGTGGGGTCACGCGCCTGGGGGACACGACGTCACCGCCACGGGTACGGTCGTCTGGTGTCGGCGGTGCGGGGCCTACGGGTCCGTCAGGGCGGGGAAGGCTTTCAGCTCCCCCTGCCCTGACCCCAAAGACTTGCCCAAGAGCAGGAGGTCAGTCCTCAGTGCTCTCCAGAGAGGCAAGCACCCCAAGACTGGGCAGTCCCTAACGGGGTGACTGGGTGTCTGGGGGTTTCCTTTTCCCTCTTAGAGTGGTGTCTGTGAGCAGACGCTTTCTCTTCAGTGCTTCCCTGCGTCCCTCCTCCTCCTCCTCCTCCTCCTCCTCCTCCTCCTCCTCCTCCTCCTCTCCTCCTCCTCCTCCTCCTCCGCTCCTCCTCCTCCTCCTCCTCCTCCTCCTCCTCCTCCTCCTCCTCCCTTTTTCCCCCTCCCCCCCCCGGGCTGCCTCGTCCCCTCCGCCCTCTGGGCCGCCTCGGCCCTCAGGGAGTGCTGCGGATGGCGGTGTGCTGCTTAAGGCTGCCTCGCAGCTAGAGTCGAGACCGATGATGAGGATGAGGCGCCCTTGCATCCGTGTCCTCCTCCCTCCGCCTGGCCCCTCTTCTGCCTGCCCGCCCGCCCCGCCGGCCCTGGCCTCCCGCCTGCGCGTTCGTCGTCGTCTGCCTGCTTCACCCCTTCTCGTCCCCTTCCGCCAGGCAGCACGGCCTGCCCGGGACCAGCGCGGCGGCGTGTCGGGCGCCCAAGGGGCTTGCATCCTCGTCGCGCATTTTTGATCGGATTTGCTTGCCTTCAGATCCTGATCGAGTGTCGTCGTCGTCGTCGTCGTCGTCGTCGTCGTCGTCGTCGTCGTCGCCGCCGCCGCCGCCGCCGCCGCCGCCGCCGCCGCCGCCGCCCCCGCCGCAGCCTCGTCGTGTGGCTGTTCGAGCTCTGCACTTCTGTGTGGCCGCCGTCGCTGCGCTACTGGGAGCGCGCGCCCGCCCCCCCCCCCCGCCCGCTCCCGGGCGCAGCCGCCCCGTCGCGATCCCCGCAGTGGAGGAGGAGGAGGAGGAGGACGAGGAGGAGGAGGAGGAGGAGGAGGAGGAGGACGTTCAAGCAGTGGCGAAGTGTCCTGGCGTGCCTGTAGGCCCACCAAGCAATGTTCTAGGAACCTTTTGTGGTCTGCACGACATGTTCTAAGAACACATCTGGCCGAGGCTGTCCTGTTTAAGCACATCGGTTTTATGCTCTAAGAACACTGTTTTTGTTTTTTGGACATCGTTGGGTTCTAAGAACATGTCGTGGTAGGCCTATAAACATGCCGGGACGGGCGGTCCCTGCGCAAAACGTTCTCCACGCTGGCGTCGCCGACGCATCGACGATGCATCGGCGATGTGCAGCGCGGACCCGAAGTTCGAGGATCGAGGTCCGAGGTCTGGGTCCCCCCAGGGGCGCGAAGACAATGGTCGGTTACGCGCAGAGGGGGGACAGGGGGAGGGGGAGGGTGGGGGCACCCGTGCGAGCGGAAAATCCGACTCGGATGAGCTGGTCCGAAGGGCGCGTCACGATGCATCGACAGCTGAAGCCGAAGCCAAAGCTGAAATGCACAGAAATGGAAAGGGCCCACTTGGCAGGTTTGGTTGACAGCACATCGTTGAGCGGTGCTGCAGCCTCCCCTGAGCACAGGCCCCCCCCAGCAGAAGTCGGGCTTGCACCCTCATGCCTTGCTGGACAGGGGGAGGGAGGCAGGCTTCTTAGAAGGAGGCTGCTTTTTAGAAGGCGCAGGCCTTCGCCGCCCAAATCGCACCTCGCGGCTCGGGTTTGCGAGGCGCCCTTTTCCAAGGCGGCGGCGCGAGGGCGCGAGGGGAATCGCGCGTCGCGGGGTGCGATGCGGCTGAGCGCGAAGTCAGGTGATCTGCGATACGTTCGCGTCGTGTGGACCAGCGGCGACCCTTCCGCCGGCGTTCAACGTCGAACACCGCCGGCGACCCAGAATCGGTCTAATTATCTTGAACGATCTGACGTTTCGGAAACGGCCGATCGTTCAAGGCTGAACGATCCCCGCGGTGTCAGAGGTCAGGAGGGGAAGAAGCACACAGACACACGTGATTGGCGACGCTCAGGAAAGTACCGGAAAATATGGGAAATTGGAGGGGACGACGAGCATCCAGAAGAGAATGACAACTATAGGGGATCCTGGGAGCAGCGTGTACTCATTTTGTGCGCCCTGGGCCCCTTCAGGAAGCTAGTCAGGAGGAAAAAAAACACAGACACAATTAATCGTCGATCCCCCGGAAAATATGCGAAAATATGGGAAGTGGGGGGGAGACAAAAACCAAGGAAACATGGGGAAATATGGGAATATCTTTATTTGTGTGTATTTATTTGTGTGTCCTGGGGCCCCTTCAGCTAGCGCCGACTTCGGCACGACGCGAGCCTGCCGCAGGAAGCCGCTGGATGCCCCTGGGGGTGGCCTGCCGGGCCTCCCGGGGCACCCAACGTTGCCGCGGCTGGGCTCCCCCGCGGGCTCCCCCGCGGGATCCCCCGCGGGATCCCCCGCGGGATCCCCCTCGAGATCCCCCCTCGGGAGCCCCCTCGGGATCCCCCTCGAGATCCCCCCTCGGGGTCCCCCTCGAGAGCCCCCTCGGGATCCCCCTCGGGATCCCCCTCGAGAGCCCCCTCGAGAGCCCCCTCGAGATCCCCCCCCGCGGCCCCGCGGCGGGGCTCCCCCGCGAGAGCCCGCCCCGGGCGCACCCCTCGGGGGGCAGGTCCCGGGGGCGCCGAGACGGAAGTCTGAGCACAGCACAGGAGGAGGAGGGAGGAGGAGGAGGAGGAGGAGGAGGAGGAGGAGGAGGAGGAGGAGGAGGAGGAGGAGGAGGAGGAGGAGGAGGAGGAGGAGGAGGGAGGAGGAGGAGGAGGAGGAGGAGGAGGAGGAGGAGGAGGAGGAGGAGGAGGAGGAGGAGGAGGAGGAGGAGGAGGAAGGAGGAGGGGGAGGGGGAGGGGGAGGGGGAGGAGGAGAGGAGGAGGAGGAGGGAGGAGGAGGAGGAGGAGGAGGAGGAGGAGGAGGAGGAGGCTAAGCTTGAGTCGGGCCTGCCCCCCTACAGGAGGAATGTTCAAACATAGTTTAAAAAAACAGTCTGGGGGCGATGTTTGGCTTATTTGTTCCAAGAAAAGA